TAAATTAATTATACTTATAATTACTAGACAGCAATATTAGATTTAAACATGCTTAATAATAAAATGCGATGTATTTATTATAAATATATTTTTTAGGAATTGCATATTATTCTACATGACATATGCTCTCAATTTACAATAGACCAAGCTAGAAATGGAAAATATATGATGGTAAGATTAAAAATCTAAGATTTAAGATGCATATTTAGTCAATTTTAGGTAAAAAGTATATTTTATTAATTTTCATATGCATCCTAAGCATATTTTATATTTCTAAAAAAAAATTGATTTTTTTTTATCTATGTATTTTAAATGAATTAAATACTCAATGTTATTTTATGTACTTATTTATTGTCATCGTCGCAGTTGAATATTAATTTGACGATAATGGTGTGATGTTAATTTATTATTACCCTAATACACCAAAATATTTTTTATTTTCGATAAGTTACCTACTTAACTTATCATAAATCTATTTATTGTTTTTTCTATAATAAATTTGTTTCATAGTTTAATTTAGTTTAATTTGTTTTATAGTATTTTTTTTAAAAAATATTTTTACAATTATTTCAAAAGATATTTTTTTATGGAATTTTAAATGATTTTTTTTGCATATTTAAAATATTTTCATACATATTTTTAAATTTTTCCTTGCAAATTTTACCTGGTTTAGCTCCTATAACTCCCAAGTCTTAACTCCTAACTATATACAAAAATATAATTATATTATAATATATCATAAATTTTTAGTAAGATATATGTTAGTAAATAGTTGTTAGTAGTATGTAAAAATTAAAGAATAAATATTAATATTAATAATAGACTAAATAATAATACATATTATTCTTTAAAATATTTGCATTACACGTTTATAGTGTTTTATAAATTATAATTGAAATGGTTCCAATTTTTTTTTTTTTTTTTTATACTGCGGTAAATTATCAAGGAAATATCTATAGAAAAATCTGTTCAATACTTTCTGTACCAAATTACATTAAAAACACGTTGTACTTAATAAATATTAAAAAAATGTTAGAAAATCTAATTTTTATTTGAATTTATAAAATGTTTTTATATAACATATATTAAAAATTATTTCTTATGAATAATAATTTTGGGGAACTTAATCAAATATTTTTTATTTATTTGAATTCTTAAGACTATATTTATTTATGATAATCTATTGTAAATATATGTTTGAATAATCAAGGTGAATATTAAAAATGTTCGTTTCTTAAGTTCCCTATCCAATTATAAAACCATTTAGCCGCTTCCTATTGAGAGTTTTCTCGTATCGTGTACATGCATTACTCTACGAACAATTTTAATTTGATATTTGTTCGTATCGTAATTTAAAGTTGTCGAACTTGATAAATTATCTAAAATTTTATTTAACTTTGGCATATATTCTAAAAGAAACAAAAAATCCATAAACTAATAAATATCTGTAAATATCTTCTAATGGTCACTGTTGTCGAAGAATACTTTAAAAAGTAAACAAAAATAATAAATTATAATTTATAAAGGTTTCCTAACCCGTCATCAAAAAAAAAATTAATAATTAAATTATATTATACGTTTATATCTATTTATTGTGCCTGTCATTTTAACTTTCGATATTATATTATATTGAATACATACAAAGGCTACAACTTTCTAATTTAACTAATTTTGGGTGTTTAATAGATAATAACATTTCTTAACATTGTGCGATTGAGTCATCGTGTTATTGTGATTGATATAAATAGACTATGTGGTTGATTTAACAATTAAATATTTAAAAATGTGGTTTGAAGTTAAATTAACCACTTTAATTTTATGCATGTTATAGTTCAAATTAATTTTACATTTGTACTTATTTTTACCTAGATAATACTTATTATAGGTACTAATAATAATAGATATTTGATTTTATTTTAAAAATTGATAAGGTTAACACTTAATAATTATTTTAAGACTCTCAACTTTGAATTAACTTAAAGATAATTTAATTATGCAAATGTCTTATTTATATATTTCGTTCATAGTTTAAAAATTATACTTTATAATAGTTAAATATATAAACAAGAACTTAGAAGTAACAATTTGATTAACTAGAAAATTCCGAAATGCAACTATGTACCCATAAATAATAGAAGTTTTTGTTCCTAAAAATATTCAAATGTATACAATTTATTTCATCATAATATTACGTTTTATTATTGATTGTAAAGTAAACTTCTATTTATAATAGTAATAGGTATACTAGATAGGTATATCAATAAGTTTGGGTAAACGTAAATATTATGCAAGAAAAAATATTTAACTAGATTTGATTTTTTTGTTTAATGTTTTTTTTTCTTTTTTTCATTTAATTGGTTTATTTATTATAAAACTGTTGTATGCTGTAAAATTTATAAATTTAAGATTTTAATAATAATGTGAAACGAAAAAAAAAATCATTTTTATATTGTAAATATTTTATTATTTTACGTACGTGTTTGTCGAAATTTTCAATATATTATTACAACCATATTTATTGTAGGTTAGGTGCAATAGATCTAATTCATTTCACTTTATTTTAATCATTGTTTTTGAAATTTTATTTTAAAAAACTATGTAGGAAAATATAAAATAAAAATTTATGTAATCATAATAAATTATTGACAAATAATGCTCAATGTTAATGAATCATGATTTAATTGAGTACATACTATAAACTATATATACTAAATATATATGTATACAGTTTTTTTTGTTAAAATCATAAATTATATTCGTCATTTTATGCAGTATTTTATTTTTATTTATATTATAGTCAAAATTTAAAAGCATCAACTAGATACGATTTTAATATTAAACTATTATATATATTATTGAATATAATAGTTAAATACAAATTATTTTGAATAATTTATTACAATTTTCATGGTTAATTGATTTCAAAAAATAAGTCAAAGAATTAATGTCAATTTTTACCGACTATTAACCACTAAACTTAGTGAGTACTTAAATATTAAATATTTAATTATTTTTTAATAAAAGTATATTTACAATGGACCATTTAATATTTGATCATACAAATTAAGCAAAATATATTTATGTTATGTTTACATTGCATGCGTATTATGTACTTAGTGGTTAGTACTTATATCTTTAAAAATTAAAAGAAAACAACTTTAATTTCGAAATATTTTTAACACGAAGTAAATTTATTTAATTATTTATTACGTGTTTAGTGTTTATTATTAAAAATTATTATATATTTGTTGAAGTGACTCTTAAATTAATTTAAAATTTTATAAGTTATAAAAATATTTAAATATTTAAATAATAAATTTGTCTGACTACGGAAAAAGGACACAAATGAAATAAAATGAAAAATTTTAAATCAATAATAAATTATTATTTCATAACTAGTTATAATTATTTTAAAGAATCATTCTATACTTAAGATCATATTATCTCAGAGAAGTAAAGTTAAGTTTCAGTATTTCAAGTTTGAAACCACATCTATATTTTTTTGAATGGTGTATTGCTTTCTACATAAGTATATATATATATATATACAAATTGAAAGAATTTAAAAAAAACTTAATGTGGGGGAGGTGTAAAAATTCAAAAATCATTCTCCTTGAAAAGCTACTATTTCAGCAGGTTATTAGTTTACTATTAGGCACACATTTAAGAAATTAAATAATTTAAATATTTATAGTTAATATATATATACATCCAATCATAATATATTTTATTCAAACTATTTTAATAGATTTTCAACTAAGTGGATATTTGAAATTATTTACGTAACACTCGCGAGTAATTCATATCGGTAGAATATTAGAAATTATATAAGGTCAATGGCGTTAATCATAAGGTTCAACTGGGACAAATGTCTTGTGTAATTTACGGAAGTGAATAGGTGGGTGTAGACTACTGTAGACACTTCGGGATTGAAATTTGTAAAAACCAGGCTTCGGACTACTAAATCTCAAGAGAGACTTGAAAAGTGGCTTATAGTTAGTTATGACTTATAAAAAAAGAGTTGAAGTTGAAAGGATAATAATATCTAAAATTGTTGTGATAAAATAAATCTCTGGTGAGTTGTAGTGAGTAGTAGATATTATACTGATATTTATATTTTGTCATAGTTATTTTATAATATTTTATAAATAACTATTTTATAAACTACTCGTCCGAATTTGATTTTTGAGTATCGAATTACAAATTATATTCTGCTTCAGATTATGAAATTTTTTATTGTTTTAATTTTTAAATTTTTTACTTTTTTGAATGACAACATAGATATGAATAAATATGTAAAAAGATTGAAAAATATATTTTTTTTTAATAAATGTTGTTTTATTTTAACTGAAAATTATGTAAACATTTTTTTTTTTTAAATAATTTATACATTTTGATATAATGAGTGTTTTTTAATAAAAGAATACTCAATAAAATAATACTTATACTATATTTATAGAACATATATCGAAGAGCGTATAAAAACGTTTTGCGTAAATATAGGAAGTTTTTAAATGAAATGAAAAACAAAAAACCCTTATTCTTTAACAAGATGTCGTATTTTAAAAGATATTGCTATACTTTCATAGACTTTTAGTAGGTATATACTTATACCTATATGTATTATACAATATTATTATGTGAAGCCCATAGCACTGACGGCGTTCTTATGAACATACAAAGCTCTTTTAGGGGGGGGAAGGAGGGAGCACTAGTTCGATTGGCCTAGAAAAATGCACCTTCCCCTAACCAACAAACAACCGCACCCATTCCCACACTTAGAGGCCGATGCGCCTGTGGTGCAGCGGTCCCTGCGCGTTTTTGCGATCGAAGCGAGGCCCTTGTCCCGGCAAGTCATTTAATACGCCACCTACGATATTTGTCTGCCGCCGACTGGGGAAATACAGCGCTGCAATCGTTGGTCCCACTGCGTGACCGTCCGGCGGATCCTGCGTGATCCGGCTTTCCTTTGCGCCGAGACCGCAACACTACCGCAGTCCCTGAGACACGGGTGACACGCGACGAGTTAAGCAGATATTTCCGGCACGACGACCGAGGTATTCTTACCTATATCTATACTTGCGGAAAGGTACGTTAATTTAATTTTTATTATTACTACATTATGATAATAATTTATAATTTTAGAGCGTGGCTTTGTACGATATAGAAATTCTATCGATAAAATCATTATTTTTGGTTTTCACGTAACTTCGAGCTGTTAAATTTTTTGAAATGGTACTTGCTTATTGATTTCATCGCGAATATTTTTTTTTGTCCTGCTTATACAACTAAGTGATTGATTTTTACTGATTAGTTATTACTTATTATATATAGCTATACGTTATGTTATCGTGTCAATCTTCAGACTTAGTTTCGTTTGACTTTTATTCCAAATATATTTTTTTAAATGATAATTTTCTTAAACTTCCGCAATAGTTGCTACATTATCATTAATCTTATTTTAGACGATCTTTCAAATGTTATGTAAGTTATCAATTTTGATTTTTTAAGTTTCTATAGCGTGACTACAATACGCGCGATTATCTATTACTGTTATTTTAATGTAAAACGTGAAATATGTCATAAAAGTTTAAAATGTATATCATAAAATATAGAACATATAATTAAGTAGGCAACAACTTAGTATACTAGGTGATTATATGCTTAATTATGGCTGAAAAACTACTTAAGTGACTATAAAACATTCCGAAAATAAATTAATAACAAGTAACACCTAATCCAAAATACATTTTATAATTTTTTGACTGTACTCATATTAATAAATTTGTTTTTTCTATAATGATAAACTACCAAATACAAAAAGATTAATAAGTATAATATTCTAATTTTATTTGAATATTCAATATTTAAATACTTAGAAATACTTAGTATATTTGTTCAAATAAATAAATTAACTAAACACTTTTTTAAAAAATCTATTAAAATTTTAAAATTAACAAATATATATAAATATATATTAAGTGTGAAAATTATCTCATCTTTATAAAAAATATGAAGTATACTTAGCTATTTTAATTTATATGTAGATTCACGATAAGTTGAAAAAATATCTATTTAAGTAAATTATAAATAACTATTGCTAACTACTCTTATTAATTAATTTTTTTTTTTTTTAATTTTAAAACTTAATGAAATTGTATGATCTAAATAGATTTTTTGTCTGCCTTTTCCGTAATACCCACTTATTTTCTTTTACTTAAACTAAATAAGTAATTAATGTTCAAAGGTTTATTTAACTTATAAATGAATTATAATATAATTAATAAAAATTACGTACTTGTTTTATTAATACCCATATTTACAGACAGATGCGTACTGGATCTATTTTCTCTTACAGAAAATCAGGTATAATTAGGGCCTACTTAGTAGTAATAATAAATGGACTCATGCATAATATCATTTATTCAATTACATCAGAAAAGTTATTTACTTATTTGTTCAACTTCGACATAATTATAAAATTACTACCATCTTAAATTAAGAAAAAAATTATTTATCTATATTTAATTTTCTATTCAAGAAAATAATAAATATAATCTTTATTTATAATTTAAAAATTAAATTAAATAAATATAAATACTAAATTAATACAGTGCAAATTAATACGGTAAACCCATACTATAGGTACCTATTTTTATCTATAATGTTTACCAGTCAGCTATATCTGTTTTTCAATGGAATCACTACACACGTACCTAATTTTATACTCACTTAGAGTTATTCACTAAAAGTTTCATTACTAACGAAAATCTTAATTTTTCCTTTACATATTTTTCTATCTGCTAAGGATACCATAGCTGATAGTTATTAATTATTATTTATTCAATAGAATTGTTAATAATTTATATTAATGAATTCAACTAAAGAGGAATCTATCTGGTAGAGGAGGCTTAGGTCTTATAATTTTAAGAGGGACTACCGAAATTTCCCCAATATACTGGCGAACCAGTATGCGCCTGTTGAAGTTATCGTATAGTATGTGAAACATATTTTATTATTTATAGCCTTAAATTAACCGTACAGTGTACAACACAAAATTAAATCTACTTCAACCCCACATAAAAAAAAAAAAATGTTGATATGCTACTTTTTTTATTCCTTGCACAAATTATTTTCTATTTTATTATGAATAGTAACAACTAATGAGTAATATGTCACTAGTAGAAAATTAACTTATATAGATATTATTATTCAACGTTTTATTCATTAAACCAGCATATCACACAAAATCTAATTTATATCTTCAATATTGTAATTTATAATAATTAATTCTGTTGTTTTTATGTCCAGTGTGGTAGCATGTGATTAATCCAATTTAACGAAAATTGATTATGCACTCAAATAGAAATTATATAAAATAGTAAGGTATTAAATAAACCAATAATGATAAAATTAAAACAATTTAGTTCAATATAAATCTAAGTATTAAACAGACTTAATTAAATACATGTGTAGATTAAAATTTTACACACAGATAGATACAGTTAAGATTTAAGAGCATTATTTGTGTTCTTATTTTGACTTTTTAACAAAGGGGAATATGAATAATATGATCATTTTTAAATTATAACATTTTATGTAGGTACTTATAACTTATATACAAATTTAAGTATCGTATAAAAGAAATGACTAATGACTCTGATGATCTTCTTGATTTTCAGTATGATAATAGGTCAATTTACTCTTAATTATTTGCAAATTTACATTAAATATCTAACCAAAGATAGGTCATTTTGCTGATAAAAATTACATAGAATACTGTTTACTACGAAATAGAATAAAAATCGTAAAAATGTATTTTATTATATACTTACCTGTGTCATTATTCGAATTCATAAATTAACTACAAAATAGTCAACTGTATTAATATTAATAATTTTTATAACATTTAACTTAAAATTTTAGAAAATAATAAGTATAAATTTAGTAGTTAGAAGAATAAATCTATGTTTTTAACTTAAGTATTTCATTACTTTAGTATAGTATATACTATATAGTATATATATCTACATAAATTAGTTATGATGGTAATGATGATTTGAAATGCTGGGCATCAGCGCCTAGTGGTGGTATAATTCAATTATGTTTCTATGTTTATATTTTATTTTGTTGTTTAATTTTGCTGTAAATGATTTGTTAAGCCATATAAATAAATAAATAAATAAGTTATGATGGTAGTATCATAATATATTTTTGAATGTTTAATTAGATTTTTATTTGCTTAATTATGTATGATAAAAACTAATTAAAAATAGATTAAATTGGAATTTTTTAAAGCAAATAAAAATAAGAATTAGGTATTTAAATAATAACTGTTATTATAAATATTGTTATAAAAATTGATTAGGAAGTCGTGGGCTTTTTAGGTTAAGATATTTACGTTGGAAATATTTAATTTTTTAGCATTGTAGTTATAAATTCATATAGGTACACAAAAAATATTTTTTTAATCACAATTTTATTGACGTAACTTTTTTATTTGTTGCAGGCATAATTTAGCACAACTAATGAAACATTGAACACACAGTAATTAAATAATGGGTAACCCACCAGATCACGCTGAAACTCCTCTTACTGGTGGATATCTGTTGATTGTATTAGCCGAACCCAGGAGTGCTGAACACAAATTAGCTATATTGAAAAAACTCACAAAAGGTAACACGAAAAATAAGTAATAAAAAAATGTATACATAAATAAATATACTCTAGACGGGTTAATAATATGGATTTATTTTGAGATATAAAAGCGTGTTGGGGTGGCGTATGTCTGGGTATCATATCTATTTTAAAAATTCCGTCATCAATACTCTTGAATGACATCAGTTAAAATTAAAATGAACAATATTACGTACGTTGAAGTTAAAAAATCGACAAATTAAAACTAACATTAAAAATAAAGCCTAAAACGTATATATTTATATATAATAAATAATCCTACATAGTAAACATTATTTACAAATATAAGTAATAATGATAATAATAAAAATAATATATCTTCAATGTATATAATAACTCACGAAATTATTGCTAAAATATTTAAAAATTATTTGTGTTTATTCAAATTTTTGTGTCATGACATTTTTTATTTAAAATTATAGTTTGTAGTGCTTAGACAGGGGATTTTTATTATTATTAAGTCTGAAGTAAAAATATGACTACTCAGGTCTTGTAGGTATTTTAATAGAACTGTAACATGTGTTTCAATGTTGCTGCAATCTGTTTAAATATAAACTGAATCCGCTCAAGACCCTTCATTTGGTAGTAATTTTAAACGAGAATATGTACACTAGAGGACAAAATGTGCATGTCAAATGAAGACGTTGTATGTTAAAATAAAATCTTATAATTATAATATGACGTTACACTATATTGTCATAAAATTAACATTCTGTACATATAAAATACGTTTATGAAACATATATGATGAAGTATTAAGTTTTTAAACATCATAATGATTAAGTTTATTTATTTTTTTTTTACATAATATTTTCATAAAATTAAGTGAATTTTTATTTACATTCACATAAGTATGTTAATATTAATATCGTGTGCTTTCTAAGTAATGTTGCTTAAACTTTAAAAATGGTGTTTGAAAAATAATGATAAAGGTAATTAAAGTAATCATTAATAAGTATTTATAGTTTAAAATATTATGATTAATGTGATAACTAAATCAGTTTAATTATTTAATATTTAATTATTTAATTATGCTTAAAATAAAAATTTCATGTATTGGAACATTAATAGCACGATAGGTAAACCGTATCTATACCATACTATTAAAAATTTTTAAATTTCTCGATGTTTTTAGATAAAATATATTTATTTTTTTATTACTCAAAGGATTATTTACGACAAAATATTTAAAAGTAAAAACAGTAAATAATTCAAACGAAATTTTATATTTATTTATTTATCGTTACTACTGTTATAATGTTATATTACAATTTACTGTTGATAATATTAATAAAATACGATGTATAAGGTGAACAAAGTTAGACGATTGAATAACCATATTCTAATCCTGCCTGGAATTTGTTTTATTTAATCTTTAATTAAATTTTTATAACAATTATGATATAATTTATATTAATTAAACGTAAACATTAAATATGAATGTATACACTCATAATATTGTTTTGTAAAGTTTATTCATAATAAAAACCAACTTAGGTAGTAAAATAATTTTTATTTAAATTATATTGTAAAGTTTATACATATGTTTAATCTATATATTATATATTATATATAAGTGCAAAAAAATCAATATTTACTATTTGATATAAATAAAAATTAATATGACATTAGCCGTTTAATATATAACAAAACGTGTTTATACTCAACCAACACCTTGGAAACGTTGACGTCATGAAGAAATGTTCAAATGATAAATTATCATTTTATATTCCGTTGACTTCCAAGAAATTAATTACAATACATTTTAATATTATGTCTAAATTCAATTTTTTTTTATAGGTTATATTTTAGATAGTATTTATTTTCTTACACCTACGTAAGTTATCAGATTTATACACCTTAAAATGTATAATAGGTCCTCTTATACTTATTTATATTAACTTATTTTTTTTCTTGACAAAATTTATTGCAATTGACAGTTTATTATTTTAAGTCGACTGTAAATTTACGATACTGGAAAGACTGTTTTTAAGGTCAATATTAAAATTGCGTGCACAATTCGAGTAAAATATCCTTTAAATGGAATATATTGTTATAGAAAAAGTAAAAAAAAAAAAAAAAATAATAATAAAATGATAAAAAAAAATCCATTTAATTTTCTTATTCTAGAATATTATTATTATTTATTAATAAATATATTACTCGTTTAAACAAGTTAAAATTAATTTAGAGATAAAAGTTAAAACTTATTCAATTAAAACTCGAGAAATTTAAAAAAGTGTTTATATTTTTGAGGGATCGTATTCCTTATAATGCAAACAATAATTTATCTTGAATCGGATTTACGAAAATTTGATTCATTGTGGTTACCAACAAAATTCTTATAATCAATATTAATCCATAATGTGTTTAAATTTAAAATTAACTTAATCAAAATATTATTACTTATCTATTAAAATAGTAAAGCTAAACAATGAATTCATAAAAGGTCTAGATATATTAACAATGACCATATATTTATTATCTTAAAATAGAACTGATTTCTAGTAATATTTTATAATTAATTTAAATTTTTTTCTAATAGTAATTTAATATTATTTATTAAAACGTTTGAAACTTAACTATTGTGAAATAAGCAATAAAATATTTTTTTTTTTAACAATTTGAGGTTTGAAATTTGTGTACACTCATAGTATATTTTTTAAATAATTTTAACTATCATCCCAAATTGTTAAAATATGAACTGATAAATTCTTTACAATAATTATAAAACATTCGTTTCAAAATGTTCTATTAATTTTGTATAAGACCGAACACTCAAACGTATTTTTAAATTACATTAATGTATTATTGCTTTCTAAATTAGTGTAAAATATAAAATATAAATAAATAGTAGTTTCAATTTCTGTACTTATTTTACTACTTATTTATCTTTTAAATTAAATTTTCTATTATTTTTGAATTACCTTGGTCTATGAATTTGAATTTTTTCAATGTAGACATTTTTTTTTAATATCAGTGTGTTTTTAAGTATAATAATTATACATATTATTCATATTATAACATTTAAAATATTTTATTTTATTAAGATTAGATTATGTGTTATAGGCTATTATATTTGGTGTTAACACATATAATTATTGGTCCCTTCTTTAATAATTGTATATATTTTATTTTTATTATTAAATTAGGTACAGATGATTTGGACATTACAGTTATTGTGTATACTTTGTACACCAGCATGGCAATACATCCTTATTATTGTCTTAAGTAATTAATTTATTCTAATTTTGATCCTTAGAATATTCAAGTATACTTTAAGGCTATATTTTAAAGTTCTTTACATTTTTAGGCTATTTAAAGAGTTAATTGAAGCTATGTAAATAACTTTTTTCCAAATAAGATTTGTATTTTAATATTGTGAACACGAGTATATCTAAATTATTATGTTTTATCATTAATCTTAGAGTAAAAAATATTAAACATTAATAACAATTTTTTTTAAATAAATAGTTTTATGTATCTATTATATATAATATATGTGTAATAGGTTTAAAGATATGGTAATTTTGAAGTTAGATTAATTAATATATTAGCATTTTATAGTTTGTAAATGTTGTCTAAGCTCTAAGCAATAAGAACGCAACTAATACAAGATAATTACATATTAGACCTATATATAATATTTTAATCTTTTAATAATTAATCAGAATTAATTGAATAAAAATTTGGTTTTAGTAAAGCATTCTATCGGATAAAAAAAAGTTTACGATTTCTTTAATTCATATATCAATTGCTAATGACATGACACATTAAAATGTAATTATTTAATCACTAATTTGATAATGGTGCTGATTTATGTAGAGATTAAGGAGATCTTTCACTTTTTTTTTTGATTGTTTGTATACAAGTATATTTTTCTAAATAACTATATTATGCATCAATACATTAATAGATTACCATAGCGTTTTTTATTCAATTATTTTCTGTTCTTAACGTGCAAAATGTATTCATAATAAATTTTAATGCCTAATTTAAAATAAATATTATTTATTCAGTTAAGATATTTAATATATATTCTGTAATAGCGATATAGATGGTAGTTTATTACCTAACCTAAAATGTATGGTAGTCTGAGTCAATGGAGTTGGAGTGATTAATTTTATTTTTAATGTTAAAACTTAAAGTTAAATAAGTTATAAATTAAAATATATTTTGTAAATTATATCTAATTTTTAAAAAGATTTTTTAAGCAAAAACTTGCCGAGTTTTATTTTAGTTATAAATTACTCATTACAGCATAAATATTTAAAAAAAAAATACACTACCACTAAAAAACTCTGTGATAACAGTTAATATTAAATAAAAAAAAAAACTATCAAATAATTTGAATTGTTTTGAATTGCATTGTTTTTTTCTTATAGGATATAAAATATTTATAAAAGTTCTAAATTAGAATCATACGATTCTTTTTATGTCAAAACTAAAAGGAAAACAGGAAAAAAAAATCAAGGTATCGAAAAATACGAAACATTGAATTTTATCAAATTTTTTATAAAAAAATTAAAATATTTAAAAATTTTTTCCAATAAAATATATTGTTAAAGTTAATATTTTATTATTTTTGTCTTTCACAATACCTTCTAAATTGAATGATGCAGAAAAAGCGCCATCTTCCATAACTATAGTATGATGTTTTTAAAGCGTGTTTAGCTTGTTGAATTATAACTACAGTGATTTTCTTCTCATTTTGTGGTTTGTCTTCAATCTCGCTTTGTCTGTGCTTTTACTATAATAAAATTAATATTTGTGTTCTTGAGATAACGTATAATGATTAATTTTATATTGAGTTATCGAGATTAACACGCTTTTGAATGTAATGGTAGTTTTAAGGGGATTTAATCATAAATATAATTCGAGATAACGAAAAATTCGAAATAGCGATATTTCACATAACAAAAATTTATGTACTTTTTTTCTATAAAATTAAAATAATTTTTTTAAACTATAAAATCAGTTATAAAAATGTCAATTTTGAAGTGTGTTCATTAATAAATTGAGTTAGAATTTTCTATAAATTTAAGAATCTTTAAGTAAGCCTTGTTTTTTTTTTTTTTTACCCATCTTCAGTATAGCAAATTTATATTCAGCAGAATTAACCTTATTAGCTTTATTATCACAGTAAATTGACCTATTATCGAATTTAAGTTAAAAACATTATCTATGTTCTTACTTTACTTTTAAATATGAGTATTTTTAAATTATAAAATTTTACAATCTTATCTTTCTAAACTTGCATACAAATTTAAATATAGTAAAAAAGCTGACATACAGATAACGTTCTCAACTTTATATTTGATTTTAAGTCGAATCCCTTATTAGTATTAACTAAAGCTAACAACATAAGTTAGTTCTGCTGAACGTAAATTTGTCATGTTTAAACGTGGGCCAGAGACAAAAAACAAATATTACACTGATATTCTCTTAGATGAAATTGTATATCAGTAATAAACATGAACACATAAAAACCTAAACAATTTTATTTTTAATAATTTTAAAAAATTTATATTTATATGAGTTTTGCGTAAAATATATTGAAATATTAGATTGATTAACAAATGTTAAATTAAATAAAAATCTTATTTTATATTTATTTAAAACGTCTAACTTAATACAGAAAGATATAAACAGCATAAATTACGACTTATATACAAATATAACTATATTACCAAATTAATATTTGTACAAAATTCATAATATAGATAATATTTTGTATATTATGTATATAATATGTATAATGTATATACATTATTATTATCTTTAATCTATTTTATTAAATTTTTCAAAAAAAGTTTCAATTCATTTAATAAATTATAAAAAATACAAATTAAATGCAATTATATTTAAAATTTTAAATAAAAAATAAATTTATTTTATTTGTTATTTATTGATCTTAATAATTATTAGGTATCTAGGCTAATTATACCATAAACATAAATAAAATAGCCTTAATTTATTCGACGTAGATGAATTCGTGTAATTATCAACTATGAAACCGTTTTGTTAGCTGATTTGTATTACAATTCAGTCGAGTTATTTGATGAAGGGTATTATTTTCAACAGTGTAATATTTTTACTCATTTCATGCCAATAAATTTACGCACTTTAAATTTTTCCCCCTTTGTATTAAGCAGAAAATGTGTATAAGTTTAACTGAGTTTAACAAATAATAAAGAGAAATTTTTATAATGACCATCTATAATTTATGTAAAGGCATCATTTTATCTAAACAATGTTATCTTATCACATTTGTATCACGCATTGTAAAATAAACATAGGTTGTTTGAATTGGTATGTTCATGTAATAGAGTCTATTACATCTATTAAATAGACTAATATTCTAAATTCCTATAATTACCTTATTATGGTTACATAAATGTATAATGACTGCTTATAGAACCTTGCGTGTAGTTAAACTTTGTACAGGTACCCCGATTTGTTTAACAGTTTCGTGATAAAGGCCAATCATTTCGTAAAAACTATTTCCGTAAATATTATACATTTTAATGACCATTTAGCTGAAATAGAGCAAAAATCTTTTAATTCTAAGCGTTAATAAATTTAAAAATTTTGTGGAAAAAATTTTTCTGGTAGTTTTTTCTGAGTGGTGATAGAGTAGGTCAGGTATTGATTGGGCTGCAGGACTCGGCGGTGACGTTGCCAAAGAGCTGGGCGTGGCTTATCTGACTTCAGCCCTCTTCACCCACCACACACACACACACACACACACACACACACACACACACACAAAATATAGGTTTAACGGTATCAGCTGGTGTCCATTAGCATTACGCAATATCAGTACAAATGTCAGGTCAAGTGATCGACGAGTACTTAAAAAAAGATACGAGTAGAGCAAAGATGTAAAATAAGAATCAAGCTCTTTTAGGTTTTTCCTTTTACTACATAGCTATGTTTTTTTGTGAATATTATGTATATTATAGCACGCTGTGTTACATTCTACAACTTAAACTTCGCAGATATTAAAACGACAAACATATAAGTACAATCGGTCACAGAAGCTAGGCTCGATAAATTTGACAAACGATGAATACAAAAAAAGTGTAATGATAATAATTTTTATTATATTTTTAAATATTACTAGTATTTAATATTTTAACGTGAGATTTTTGAACTATTCTATACAGTTATAATAAACTAATTGGCCACTACTCTCTATCAACTGTAAGTACTGGTGTTAGTCTTAAATTCCCTTAACACTTGTTTTCTTTTGATGAGTAAAATGCTTAATTATTAACACAATTAATAGAGTACAAGTTAGGTGAGTAGTTATCATAATTTTCAGTAAAAGGTAGGTAGAACAATAGATTATCACAAAATGTATTACAAAAAAAAAAAAAAAAAACAAATCAATAGTTATAGCCCATAACTAATATTGAAAAAGGAAATGTATATACATTTGAATTGTTTGATTATTATTTATGATGCATTTTTATTTGGAAATTTCTTATATTAATATTAAGTTCATCATTATTAAATAGTAAAAACGGTTAATTTTAATAAAAATAAATTATTTTAAGTTCAATAATTAATCTTTGTTCCCAAATTCCTAAAATATTATCATTATAATTAACGTATATTATAAAACAAAAATGAATGTGCCTAATATGGTAATTTACTGTTTAATAGTTTTTTTTTTTTTAATCAATTTAATACGTTTAAATGTGAAATAATGAACTACATATTACTTTAGTGTAATACAATATCTAAAATTAAATTTTATTATTATTGAAAGAATATAATACTGCAAATATAATTTTTAAATACTAGAAAAGGGAAATAATTTTAACTAATTGATTTGCTTATTTTTTTAAAATGTAAGCTTCTTTTTTTTTCTTAAAATACTATAATATAAATACTTTTAAAGCTTTGAAACGTCATATCTGAGGTTCAAATGTATAACTATAAAATTAAAAAAAATATTTTTAATATATTTACTTAATAAAGTGTTTGAGTGTTGGTTATATTTTATTATCTATGTATTTTAATTTTATCCTTAAGACACCCTTAGGATTTGATATTTTAATTTGAAATTTAGAATTTATAATTAACTATTTAGTATAATAAAAATATAGTATAAAAATTTGGTTTAGATTAAAATATTTAATTTATTAATTTCGTTGAAATATTGATTGTTTTTTAGTCCGACTTAACTATAAGCTAATTAATACAACAGCCAATCGATATAATCCATTGTATTTTGCTTATACAAGTTCATACCGCTTATTCTTTTAGTTATAAAATGCATTGATTACTAGGTAAAGAAGCTATAGAAACTATTTTTAGACAAAAGTGACTGATAGACAACCAACAATGGTTTCTTATTTCAAATAAAAATTTGGTCGATATTAACCAAACACGAAAAACTTTTATGAAAATAAAACTTAAGCAAATCTAAATATAATAAAGAAAATATTTTTAAAAAGTTTTAAATTTTTTTTCACATTTATTGTTATTTCATTTTAATCCAATTAACATTTTGATTGATAAATAATTAAAAAATGTAGTCAAAATGTATATAGCTTATACAATCATATAGCAATAAGCCTAAACATTATAGTCGTATAAAAACATCGCCCCAAACAGATTTTTTAAATGCTTGTGTTTCGAGGTCTTTAATCAATAGTTATTTTTATTTTTTTATATTTCTGAACTCAATTTTTGTATACTTACATAAAATAAATATTAAAAATATTTATTCATATTAACTTAGTAATAATTAGGGTTAGGATTTATGTGCTTTAAAAAATAGTAAAATGTACCCATAAAAATATCCTCATGTGCTACAAAAATGTCAAAATATACTATAAAAAACATTATGTTATGCATTTTTTAATAAAAAAAAAAAAGTATATAATATTAATTTGTGAAAATAATACACTGACATAGAGATATAAAATATGATCGCGATATTAATTATAAAAATATAAAATAAATTGATGTACAAAGACATTTTAAAAATTAACTAAAAAATTTAATTTTAAATATTTTGAAATAATAAAATCTGCAGAACTTCTAAAATACACTAAAATTTGCAAAATAAAAATAGTATATTTATTTTCAATGTCCTTTAAATAAAACGGATTTTTTTTTCACTTAGCTATGTATCAGACTTCTTAGAAAAATGTGAAAAATACTGCAATATTTTAAATGTATAGTTAGTTATATCTAACCATTTTAGTTATAAAATTAAGTACATTTTTATCTCTTAATTATAACAAATAGATATATTCCTGTTGAAATGAAAATGAAAATAATTGTTGTAGGTAAAAATACCAAATTAAATGCTCTACATACCTACTAAAACACGTTTCACTTATAATATTTTATTTATCGGAAATATTGTAATATTATTTGGTAAAATAATTACGTATTGGTTGATATTTTAGGACTTTCATGTTGGAATTATGAAGACAGTGGTGTTGAAATAGTTACTGAACTCAATGCTATTGTTAATCAAAATATCGAAGGCGAAGAAGGAAAAAATGGTATATTTATGTTTTAATTTAATATTAAATATTAAATGAGTATTAGTAACAGTTTTAAATAGTAGTTTTGTAAAATATATTTTAGGTGAACAACTTTTTCAATATGTAAGTGATAATTTAGTGGCAGAAATTCTTATCAATCCTCAACATAGTACATTAGTACAATGCGTAAGAAACTTATTAGCAAGTTTTACTAAGTATAGATGCATTATTCATGCGGGATATTCGTATACAGAAAATGGATCTTGGATTCTTCAGGTTTGTCAATTTAATTTAATTAAGTATGTATTACATTGTGTTAGCAATTATTATTTTTAGATTTTGTTTTACTTAAATTATTTTAGTACCATTATATGTATAATATGTACCTACTATAATAATTATTGTAGGTATACATATATTTATTTTATTTTTGAATTGATAGAATATTGAATAATAAATTATGATTAATAACTATAGTTTCAATCATGAAATTTATTAAAATATATATATTTTTTTAAATGTGTTTTTATAATTACAGGATGGTTCGTTTTCTGTAACTGACTTCTTTGATGCATATAAAACGGCTGAAGCTCAGCGCACAATTAGACTCCATGAAAATCATATTCGTATCGACCTCCACTGTTCTGCAGATGCTGAATGGAATCAAGTTAGTCGAGTTAAGGGCACGCGCTTTTTGTTAAATCCACCAGAAAAAATAGTTGACAATGAGTCAATAGAATTAACCGTAAGATGGCTATGTGATAAAATTGAAGTGGTCGAACTTGATATACTACTTGAAGGGTCACAAGTTGTTGGAAATATCAGGTTTAGTAGACCTACGCTTTACGTGTTTCCTGCGGGTCAAGGTGATTCCGCTTTATTTGGCATCAATGGATTCAACATGTTAATCGATGGAGGAGCGGGAAGAAATTCTTGTTTTTGGGGTTTCGCAAGGCATTTAGATCGGTTAGATGCAGTATTACTAACAAGACTCAACAATAGTAATTTAGAGGGAGTTGCATCATTCCTCAAACGAAAAACCATGTCCTCATTGTATCCACAAATAGGTCATTTTTTCTGTAACTTCAAGGTAAGAAATCTTAAAAGATAAATCATTTTAAAATCACATAAATATTATCAAAATTTTATCAAGTAAAATGTATAAAAATAATGAAAAATATAATCAAATTAAATAATTAAGTAGAATAATTTAATATAATGTGCATGCATAGATATTGTAAATGTTCAGTGTCAAATCATTTTAATTAACACAACGCTGCTTCGAATAAGCAAATTGTGTAAAAACAATAATTCATGTACTTACATGAAAATTACTTTAAATTTATAAATCCAATGTTCAATAGTTAAAATTTGGATGCTAAATTTTAAAATTACATCTTTTTTTAGTAAATTATCATTTTAAGTAATACCTCATAGTTTTCACATCTATTTAAACATTTTTTTTTATTTGAAGCACCTATATTTTTCAATAGAATAAAATGATTTAAAATATAAAAACAGAAATATATATTTTCTTTTCTATCATTAAGGATTATAAAAATAAATATTCTCTGTTGTATTTAATAGATGCGATATATATCTTTATTTTCAGACAAGAAAACAAATATCATCTTCTAACATAGATGCTAAACAAGACGTTCTTTCAATTAGCTTAATAGATACAGCACAAAGTATAATAACTGATCTTAAACAATTGCAACTTCGTCCGCATTTATGTTATCGAAATATAAATTTAGAACCAATCAATTTATATCATAAAGTTGGTCATGGAAAACTAGATATGTATGTATTAAATCCTTCTAAAGATAGTAAAGAAGTAAAAGAATTTTTGACAAAATGGAATGAAGGTGATCAAAAATTATTTAATCCTACTAAAGATTTACAATTTCCATTGCCAAACATAATATCTATTTGTACACTGCTGGTATGGCAACCAGCAAATCCAAACACTACAATCACTAGAATTTTGTTTCCAGGAAGTAATCCTCAAAATAAGATATTTGAATCTTTAGAAAGAGTCAGGCATCTTGAATTTTTAAGGCATCCTTCGTGTTCTATTAAATCAATGAGTTCATCTACATCAGTAACAGTCAAATCTCAAACAACTAAGAAGACAGTTCTTGAAAAAATGATTCCAGGTGAAACTAAAACCGTTAAGAGTATGGAAAATTTAGAAGATTCTACAACAGCCTCAAATGCTGTTATTCAAACAGCTATTATACCAACAGTACCCAAAGAAGGAACTTTAAAACCAAAGTTTTCTGCGGAAACAGAAAAATCAAAACAAATTGTAAAGACAGTTACAAAAGAAACAGCAATCGCTAAAGCAAAAATTGAACATAAATATAGTTCAATTAGCGCAAAAGTAAATTCCAATAAGGTTATCCAAAAAAGTACAACTACTAAAAAAACTTTAAAATTATCATCTAAATCTCCCCCTACTGATAAATCATCACCTTCGACCCCAATTGAAAACCAAGAAAAAGCGCCTAAACCAATCAAACAAATTATTAAACCAAAATCAACAACTACAAACACTAAATCTCCTTCGAGCACTCCTACTAAAAGTAAAAAAGAGGAAGCAAATCGAAAAGTTTTGGTTTCTTCAAGAACGAATTCTGGTCTAAAGCGAACTCAAATAACTAAAAAAGAAACAAAGCCAGCCAATCCAATAAATACTGAAACTAGAGGAATTTCTTTAAAAAAAAACACAAATATAGTTTATAAATCAAGTTTGATCAGTTGTGATAAAGATAAAAGTGGTGAAGAAGAAGATATCTTAATTGTGGAAAAAGTAGCGATTACACCAGAAAAACTGTTAACTCCCGATGGAAAAAAAATCATTGCAAATGAACTGGATGGGATTTTAACCACAGCCAAAGATATAGTAAATAAAGAAAAATGTGTAGAAAAGTTGTCAGATTCTGGAGCCACTACAGCGCCCACTATGCCAGAAGATGAAAAAATGACTGAATCAAGAAAAGAAAGTAAAACGAACGAATCAGACAAAAAGATCGAAGAATTTAAAAAAGCTAAAGATTCATTAAAAACACCAGATGAAGTGGCTGATTTACCATTTCATGAAGAAGCGGACATACATAAACCAAAAGTTTCAGAAAAAGAGTTTGAAACAGAAGCTAAAACACAAGAAATAGTACACGTAGAAAACGCCGAATATGTATTGGTATCATTAGATTCCTCTCCAGAAGCATTAAAACGACAAGTATTAGATACTGTAGATTTGATGGATACAGAACTTGACGAAGATTCTGATAAAGAAGATGAATACAATAATGAAATTATGATGAAAATAAAACAAAGTACTATGCAATCTGATGTCGATGAAAAAACAAAATTAATAGAACATTTACATGAGTCATCTAAAGACTTATGCGAAATCACGGAGAAAATTGATGAGTTAAAAAAACAAAATGAACATGAAGTCACCAATAGCCAAATTCATGATCATTTACAAACTTCATATCATGATAATTCAAAAACATCAAATGTAGGTACAGAATCACATAAACAAATAAAACCAATACAAATTCAAGAAGATGAAAAAACTAAATTAAAAGAAAAAAAATATACCCATGAACAAAACTTGAACACTGATGATAATAAATGTTATACAGATGTGCAGAAAAGTGAGCAAATAGAAGCTGATAATGCAGAAAAGAATGAAACTGAAATAAAACAAAATGATAATCCTGAAAAAAATCTGGCTAGTTTTATTTGTGACAATCAAGAAAAATCACCAGAACCTAATATAGATACTACCAAAATTGTATCGAATTCAATTCTTCAAGAACAAGGTGAAATAAATATTGAAATTGACAAACAAAATTCAAAATCATCTCCTAAAGCAGGTTCAGTTTGTGACGAGCCACTAAAATCTCCGGTTCATGATTCCATTACAACAGAGTCCAAAACAATAAGTAGATCTAGTTCTATTACTGAAGTGCAAGAAAATACCTGCAAACACACATCGATGGCTAGGAATCAAAGGCTTCTAGTAGAGGCGC